ACGATCAGGATCCTCATCCAAAAGGCCAGACGGACTATTAGAAGCGAATTAAAGCAGAGTCTGCGCGCTGCCAAGAAAGCCTGGTGGACCAGTCGGGCTCAATACATGGAGGAGGCAAGAGCATTAGGGAACCATCGCAAACTCTTCCTGCTAATCCGCACTGATGGTCCCAGGAAACCAGGCGTCATTGAAACCATGAGAAACAGCGCCGGTGCTTTGATTTAGAATAAACTGCACCATATGGATCCATGGGCTGAGCACTTTCGACAGCATTTAAGTTGGCCTCGCGACTGGTGGTGGTTGCGCGGCAGCGAAGCGCCGTTACGGCGTACAGCTGACATTATTATTATTATTATTACCAGACCTCTTTCTACTCAGGTGATGCAGGATGAGCCATGGACGGTTAGTTTAGAGACACCTCCGGAGGCTGAATTGCCAAACGCTATCGCAACCCTTAATCGTTTTCGTGCCGCTGGCCTTGCACTATTTAAGGATGGAGGTGAGGTCCTTTGCAAAGCACTGACGTCACTGCTCGAACATTTATGGAAGTAGGAATCCGTTCTGTCTAACTGGAGTCAGTCGACCATAGTGGCTATATAATAGAAAGGCAGTCGCACCAACTGTGCTAATCACAGAGATATTAGTCTAACGTCCGTAGTGACAAAATTGATGGCACTATTTCTCGTTCGTCGCCTTACTGTGGAATGGGAATCCCGGATAAGGAAAGAACAGGCAGGTTTCCGCTCAGGACGGGATTTTTAGACCATATATTCACTTTGCGACAAGTGCTAGAGCAGCGCTACACATAGAACGGACCGACAATAGCTGTGTTCCTCGATTTCGCGAGTGATTTCGGTTCAGTCGATGGATGCTTTCTGTTCGAACTACTTGCGCGGAAAGGTGTTCCCAGGAAATATGGGAACATTTTACGTGCTCTATACTCGAAGTCAACAGGGCGCGTCAGGGTCTACGGTGATCTGTCGGATAGCTTTCCGGCAACAAGTGGCTTTCGTCAGGATTATCCAATTTCCCCATTTTTTGTTCAACTTTGTCGTGGACTCCATCGTGAAGCGTTCCCTGGCGGAATCTGACGATGGCAGCCTTGAGGTACTGCCTGGTGAAAAGCTAGTTGATCTTGATTATGCGGACGATATCGTCTTGCTGTTTAACGATGGAGCCTCACAATCAACCCTGAATAACCTATGTTAGCGGTTCCATTATTTGGTATGCGCTTCGCATCTTCAAAGTACAGTGTTGATGCAGGACCACTAACCACTTGACGATGTTTTGACCCTAGATAGCGAGGAACTCGAGGTGATTGATCACTTCACTTATCTTGGCAGCTGTACCAACAACGATGGGTGTATAGGTACTGATGTCAGTTCACGTATTGCAAAATCCGGAACTGCGTTTTTGAATCTGCCACATCTTTGTCGACGGGAAGGTGTTTCCCTCCCTCTTTACAAAGTCACACTGAGGTCCGTCCTACTCTATTGGGGTGAGACGGCCCCTTCGGTCTGAAGATCTGAGGCTCCTTCAAGTCTTTGATCATTGCTGTTGTCAAGTAGCACCAGCGTGTCCGCAACGATGATGTGCGTAGGCTACTGCTAGGCAAAGATATTCAAGGGCTAAGTCCTTCCAAAGCTTCTGGTCCTGATTCAATTCATCCGAAGCTGATGCATGAATTGGCCGTTGCGATAAGTCTCCCTCTCACGTGCGCGTTTACAATATCGCTCGGCAGCTGTACCTTACCTTCCGAATACAAGGAAGCAATCATCTGTCCGATTTTTATGGGCGGTGACAGAGCTCTGCCCGCGAACTACCGGCTTGTCAGCTTGACAAGCGTAGTAGTAAAGTTGTTTGAAGAACTGGTCAGGGATTCCGTGGATAATATATATAATATAATGTGTCAGCTGTACGCCGTAACGGCGCTTCGCTGCCGCGCGACCACCACCAGTCTCGCGCGGGCTGAGTATACCGCTAGGACGCCCACCCCTACGCGGATTCGAACCGGTGACCTTACGGTTGCAAAGTAAGCGTGCAGACCACTCGGCTACCGGCCGACTGGATTCCGTGGAGAATCACCTGAATAACTACTGCACAACACGGATTCCGTAAGGGATTTTCGTGTCTGATAAGTTTACTTGTAGCTCGTGAAAGCTGAGCTGAGGCAGTAGACAACGGTCACGCTATCGACGTGCTTTTCGTTGACTTATCGAAAGCCTTTGATACTGTCCCACATCAACGACTCTCATTAAGATTGAGATCGTATGGGTCAGCTGGAGGTGCCCTTAAATAGGTGTCTGCTTTCCTAGAGGGGAGAAAACAGTGTATATGAGTGGGACGTAGCCTATCGCTTAGACAAGCTGCTCTAAGTGGCGTTCTTCAGCGTTCGGTTTCAGAGCTGTTGCTTTTCGCTATTTATGTCAGTGACATGCCCCAGGAGCTTGAAGTACCGTCGCTATTGTTTGCTGATGATCTCAAGTTCTGGAATATTGTGGATATCCCTGGTGGCTCTGAGGCAATTCAGAGTGCCTTGGATGGGCTCTGGGATTGGTCAACCTTATGGTTGATGCCTATAAATCAGACGAAATGTTCTGTCCTCCGCATTAGAGGTGCTAGTCATCGACGCGCTATGTAGTTGGTGGATGTGAAATCACTGTTTTCAATCAGCACGCTGATCCGAGTATCGTCCACAGCTCAGTGCTTCACTCTGTGACAGTTGGATGAAGGCTGCTTTTAGAGGGTTCCGTATGATGTGGTTTATTCGTCGCTCCTTCGGTGTCCTAACGGCCGTTATGTTTGTGAAGCTGTTCTCAGCTTTTGTGCGACCCCACTTAGGATACTGTATCCTGGCTTTTCCATCTTATCTTGCACGATAACTAGCTGTTTGTGACTGTATGTTGTCACAAGGTGTAGGCGCCTTGACCCTGTATGTTTACTTGGGACATTAAGGTTTTCCGGTATGTCCCCCTTCTCTCCCCCTTATTATTTTTCGTTCCATGGGTCGTTATGGTTGTAAGTCAGCGAAGCATCAGTTCAAATGGCTGCTGTACTGCTGTTGTTGGTGATGATGGTAATCTTCCTTTACTGTATGCAGCTGCAGGTGGTAAGTTGGTTGATTAGCGGCTTTGATGATGCGGACTGCTTCAGCCCCTTCTCAAGGGTTTTGTTAAACATCCCAACCGTCTGGTGTGTTTGACCCTAGGTACTACGTAATCACTTCTTTTCACTAATTGGCTCATCCTAGAAAGTTCGCAACTTTGCCTTTGTCACTGCCTTCTCCTTGTACGGTAGTTAGTCAGGAAAGTGAAAATACTTACTGTCAAATGTACTGTAGTGTGTGCGATATGTTTGGACCGATCCACGATACAGAGCGCTCTTAGACTTCTGTACACGCCGACCCACTATTGGGACCATTCGCCCGTGAACCGATTTAGTATTTAAATCCTTTGTAATCGAGGGTAAGTATATTTACGGAAACCGATTGTTCTAAATGCAGTGAGGAAATCGCTTGATGCAGTTTGTAAGCACTTTCTTTAATGTCTCGGTCGTGACAGTATAACAATACGATAGTGATAGTACAACACAATGTTATCTCAGTTGTTCTAGTGAATCCAGCCTGCTTTTGTACACCTCTGGTTTCAAATCACCCTGTAGAAACAATCCAGCGGATTCAATCAAATCTGGTCCTCCTCGGCCGATCCAGCAATGACCGATTTTCTCACTGAGATATTCACGAACCGTTTGAGCGTAATGTGCCGGTGCACTATCATGTTCCTACTAAATGGTACTGCAAAGCTCACCGGCTTCCAATTGTGGGAGTGCGCAGATTTGGGGCATTCGCTTGTACAAAGATGCTATGAAAAGTAAGGAGTTGGTACTGCAATACAACTTACCGGACGCAATCTGGCGAAAGGAAATGGTCCAACGATTTTCCGACCAGTCATTCGAGCACAAACTATGGGCTTTGCGCCATGTTGAACACCTGACGTCCTGTATCGGTCTGGGTTATATGTAGTCCATAAAAGCGTTCGATGTCAAACACGCCATGAATATGCGCCGAGCTATTCAACCACCCGCATGCTGGCAAACACAAACGGATACCTTAGCTTCCTTGGCTACTTGGTAAGACTAAATATTTTGGTAGGATTTTACCATCATACCTCAACCGAACAGGGGAACCACCGGGCCGCTTCACTATTGTTATTTCTAGTACCACTTGTGTGGTTTTCACCTTGAATATTTTTTGACTACAGCGTTTGGGGAACTACTGGTCAGTCATTCAAGAAATGCTAGTTCAATGAAGTTTTCAGCCTGGACTAACGCCATCTGGTATCCGAGGGATATATTAGATGTTACAGCTGTTTCTGTTATCACTCCACAATAAGATAACCTACGCAGCTTTTGCACTTACTTCCGGAGTTATTTGCAAAGCGATTTTAATCACTCTCTGTAGTGACGGAGCCGAATGATGTCACCTAGCTGCTTCCAACTGGTTTTCGAATGCTAATCAGCCTTGCATGCTAGTACATAGCACAAACACCCTAACTTCAAATGTGCTTGCTCATTGTCTCAAGACCTTCAGTATTACTACTTAATTTTCCTTCACCTCGCATTGTTTAGCTTGCCACGTTTATATTCCAACAGAGCACAGTTACAGGGAAACAATATGTTGTTAGCATCGGAACATTCAGCAACGACGAATGCTCTTCATACAAAGACGAGAGTCACTTTAGGACTCTACTTTGGACTGCGGAATCGAAGATTTTAAACTATAAATATGTCATTGCTACCTCCTAATTTCCCTCTTCTGGATTTTACTACAGAACATTTCCCGCGCACTAAGTTGTCGTTCGGTTTTCTCTACTGTACCACGATCAGATGTTAATGTTCATGTATAGCTTCAAACCTATCAACTACTTAGCCATAGTGCTCGAGGCCCTCCGGGAGTTTTAACATGGATCTCCTAATAACTTTGTCCTTTCCTTTTTTTGCAGATACGATATGCCGCTTCTGACAACTTCGTCACACGGTTGTCGGCGCCTCTTTGTTTTCCGAAAGGTTCTCCGTTTGTACACAACAGATGCTACGGATTCTAGCCTTCTTGACAAAACTTGGACGCTTTACCAAAACGGGTTAGTGACTTCCACTTCCACTCAATCAATACTAGACCTCAGCATATTGATATTGAAAAATCTTCCGTCTTTTTGTTTCCTGGTCAAGGCGCTCAGTTTGTCGGAATGGGCAAAGATCTGCTTGACGTCCCAAAAACTAAACACATGTTTCAATATGCCAACGAAACCCTTCGTACAAATTTGTTGAAAACCTGTTTAGAAGGACCTCAATCAAAATTAAATGAAACCATCCATTGCCAACCAGCTACCTACATTGTCTCACTAGCTGCTGTCGCCAAGTTACAGGCTACGGATGAAGAGGTTACATACCACGTCTCTCATCTCTCATACTTCATTAGCTGGTTCGGAATTGTGTGGCTGCAGCAGGATTCAGCGTGGGAGAGGTCGCAGCACTGGTTTTCTCTGGTGCCATGACTTTTGAACAAGGTTCATCTCTACTTTCTGTCCACTTTACTTCATTTCCCTTTTACTCATCACAGGACTGCGAGTAGTACGAGTACGGGCGGAATCCATGCAAAGAGCGTGTGAAAGTCCCCGTGGTGCAATGCTTTCAGTTTTCGTTAATCATGATAGTCAATTAAAATTAGCCCTACAAGCTGCGATTAATCATTGCGAAATGGAACTGCGGATAAAAAATCCGGAATGCCGGATAGCAAATTACTTGTACTCCGATTGTAAAGTTATCGCCGGAAACGTTGAGGTAAGTTTGTAGGCTCCACAGGAACATTAGCTCATTCATTTCTTTGTCTACCTTTATTCTCATCTTGCAATCTATTGTTTTGCACTCAACTTCTTTTGGGCTGCTCAGGATTTCTACAGCCAGTGCTGCGCCTTGCGTCGTTATCGAATAGTCCTTCACAGCAGTATGTTGCTTTACTCTTGTTTCATCATAAAACTGCCAAACATAGTAAAATTTCATCGGACTCTGGTAGGGCTCGAACCCGCAACTCGACTGTTACCACTCCATGGTTGAGACCACTGAGCTACGGGGGACGGTGTGGGGGCTACCGTGTCCCCTGCACGGCAGTAACGTGAAAGTCAGTGGATAGTGAGTGGTGTTATATCATGTCTAGTAATTTATTTACGACGGTCGTTACCGTCCGCCGTAGTTCAATAGTCTCAAACCACGGACTGGCAACAGCCTAGTTGCGGGTTCGAGCTTTACCAGGGTCCGATGGAATGCGTACTGCTGACGATTTTCGAGAGGATGAAACGCGCGTACAGTGTTTTCCGGATATGATGGCTGTCTGAGTGAGCCTAGATGTGACGAATTTCTACCTATGCTATTCTTTTCCCCTACTAATCTATAAATAGTTACATTTGTTCTAGCTGAGGGACTTGACTTCATTTTACCTGTATTCGTAGTTATCCACGTTTTGGCCCCTTGTTGCTCCATTGGTTAGAAGTTGGCGGGGATGGCTTGGGCCGATTGGCTTCCTCTCTTGTGGAAGTTTAACCTGTATCTGACTTTTGTTTGGCGCTTGACAGTGGTCGTATCGCACGATATGCAGAGGACAGCTTTTCACCACTGCTTGTGCTTGATTGGCAAAATAAGGGCTTCTGATATAAATGTCTTAGGCGAATATTAATAGCACAGGTTTCTACACCGTATTAACAGCACACAGTCACAAATATTTGGCAGTATCAGCAAGGCAACCTCCCTGCGACTTTCATTATTACTCTTGTTCTACGGAGTGCACGGCATCAGAACACATTTTAAACAAGTGTTCCGACTAGGAGGAATTTGCTAGAGGTTGTTCATAAGTTCCTTCATGGTTGTGTTGCGCTGGAATGCTGCCAGACGTCCATACCTATGCAGAAAGATTATGGTCCTCAACCAGAGATTCTGACTCTATCGCCTAACTTCTCTATCCGCTAAAAGGTAAAATAATGAAGGAAAACCCATTATTTTAGCAATTAATCGACCATCTTCAATTGTGCGTTGATTTCGATGTCTGGAACCTTCCATTCCTTCATGTGATTGCCAACATACGGAGTTTTGGCAGAAACTTCTGTTGCACCAGTTGGTTTTTGTTTTCTGAAGCGGAAGTATATTTGAGCTACCTGTATATTTGGCGTAGTTGTACAGTGTTTTGGCGGCGTTCTGGCTAGGTTTGGCGGCATTTTTGTGAACACGTTTTTCCCGATCAAGGCCGTTGGACTTCTGATTTTTCTTCGGCTGGGCTAGAATACTTGCGGAAAATTTCTGGTGTTTACTTCGGAATAGCGAGAAAAGGTGATGACATAACATTCTCGGCAGTGCGATGATAGCAGTAAATCCGGTTTTAAAGAAATCGATACCACTCCAGGTTCAATCTCCCAACCTGGCAGGCCAAAAGTCTGACCACTGACCAAACTGGTAGTAGTGGCTCTCTCGAAGACATCGCACAGTGTAGCTCATTGGATATATCATCATCATCATCATTACACGTTAGCTGGAGGTGGAAAACACCTCAGCTATTGTGCCGCAATACAAAATAAAAGAAAAGGAAAACAGTGGCACACCCGCTGAGTCCCCAGTAACGGATGGACATCGTTCCGGAGAGCTAACAGCTGGCTGCCGTAAAAAGAGAATCATATTATGCCTAATAGGTGAGATCGCGATTGGAGGGGGACACTAAACAGGAGGGGGATGTACAAAGAAAATCACAACACAAACGCCATTGGTGCCGGCTCCGAGCCGTATCAGCAAGTGTGTCCAACCAAACGTGTTCACCGTCCTTAGGACCCCAGCCAGGCAGTCGGGATGCACCAACCGACGCCAACTTCGAAGTGAGGGTTTTCATTTCTCTTGACCAAGTCATCACTTGGCCTCCCCTCCTCCTCTTCCAACCGCACCCACAACGCGCAAACAATGCACGTCGCGGCAGTCGGTGTGCTGGCATACGCAACACGTGGCCCAGCCATCGGAGCCTGGTGCGTGATATAATGGTGGTGAGAGGTTCACTTGCTCTTACTGCACCAAATACGCGACGTCGAACACGCTCATTGCTCACGCGGTGTTCCCACCAGACATGAGCTAAGCTGCGAAGACTGCGATGATCGAATGTGACGAGCCTCTTTATGTCTGTCGACCTGATGGGCCAGGTTTCACAGCAATATAGGAGAGTTGAACGGACGGCTGCGTTGTAAACTCTGCCATTCAGGGCGAGAGTAATGTCGTGTCTGTGCCACAGGTGGCGGAGATTGGCAAAAGCACCTCGAGCTTTTGCTATACGGTTCGTAACCTCATCTTCAATCCCACGGGTGCTAATATAGCTGATCAGGTACTTGAATTCCTGAACGACTTCTAGCAGATCACCACCAAGCGTTAGCGCAGGGTTGGGTCCCTGCCAATCTTGGAGAAGTACTTTGCATTTCGATGGAGCAATGCATAGCCCAAAACGATTGACAGCCAATGCTAATCGGTCCAGTGCTGTTTGGCATGTTTGGAAGCTGTCACAGATTAGGGCAATATCGTCCGCATACTCCAAGTCAAGAAGTCGCTCAACAGGAAGTAGCTCCACACCATCTAGGTCGTGTCCAGCGAACGCTGTTTCCATGACTTCATCAATAGCGAAGTTGAAGAGGAAAGGTGACGGCGGGCATCCTTGTCTCACGCCGCTGGTGATACTGAAGGGTAGCGAGAGTTTGCCATAAATCCTCACCCTGCCCGAACTATGTGCGTACAGTGCTTTGATAATGTTTACATATTTATCAGGCACACCTTTCCTCAGCAGACAGTCCCAAAGGGCACATCGATCAACCGAATCGAAGGCACCTTTTATGTCACGAAACACGACAACGGTGGGTCGCCAATAAACATGGCGGTGCTCCAACACTTGACGCAAAGTGAAGATGTGGTCGATGCAGCCCTGACCTCGACGAAATCCTGCTTGCTCTTCACGAATCTGGCTTTCACGAGTGCCAGGCAGTCTGTGGAGAATGACAGAGGCAAGCAATTTAGAGGCAATCGAAATCAGACTGATCCCTCTATGATTGCCGCATTCCAAACGAGAGCCTCTCTTAAAAATTGGGACAATGACGGAGCGGTTCCAGTCTGTCGGGACTGTCTCCTGCTCCCAAAGTTTTACTAGCAACTCGTGTAGATCATCTACTAGAGCAGGTCCCCCGAATTTGAAGAGGGCTGGGGGAATTCCATCTGCTTCTGAGGCCTTATGCAATTTCAACAGCCGGATCTCACGTTCGACCTCTGCGCGTGCACATACCCCTGAGGCATGTTAAGCCCCGGTCTTATCGCGACGGGCGGGGGAAATGCTAATCAATTCAGCTTAATAAGTCACACGAACAAGGTAAGATGAAGCCTCATCATGATGGGCCTGGCAGTGGTGTCGTCAGCCACCAGCCCCGATGCCACCATCTGCGGCTTCAGTCCGGACTTGCACAAATCGACTTCAATATCTTGCATCCTAACTTGAAATGTCGCATGCATTTATGTCATGAAAGCTGTTCTACGTTGTTACTTATCTAGTTCCAATGGACATCCTTGGCATATATGCTGTGTGTTAGTCTGTCTGTTAGTTGCATCGGATTCCTCTAGAACTTATTGGTTAGATTATGTACCTTTGACGTGCTAAAACCCACACTATACCTCCGTGGAGTGAAAATACTCCAAATTTTTTACCTGAATGGCCGGTGATTGAAGCATCTAGCTTCTACTCCGCGAGTCATTGATTCGAGCTTGCATAAACACGGGCAACCTAGCGGTATCCTCAGCCTACACACGTGATAGCTAGTGGTCGTGTGGCAACCAAGAACCGTTACGAGGTAAGGATGTACTGGTGTTGTTCCGCCAATGGATTCATTTTCCATCGTAAAGTCTGCATGCTTACGTGTACAACTTTATTGCGGCACCATAAAGATTTCTGGATTTAATGTTCCAATTTCCCTCCGGATATAGGCAATCGAATTCATCGAGAATCACATGACACAGTTTAACATCCCCCGAGTGAAGCGACTGCCTTTGAGTGGAGCCTTCCACACTCGCTTTATGGAATCGGCCACAAGGCCACTGTACAACGTGCTGTCTCGATTGGAATCGCTCAGTGTTCCTAAGTTCCCGGTCATTAGTAATGTGGACGTATTGCCCTATCGGTCGGCGCACAATATCCGGCGGAAGTTGAGCTTGCAGGTTGGTCCTTTCATGCGGTCACTTTGATTATGTTTTACGGCCCATGTGCGACATTTTTCATATCATTTCGCGCCAACCGATCACCTTTACCCATCAAAGTTGCACCTCTTGATGGGAGTAGTGATTACTAGTCTGATATATGTGCCACTTGTGTTGCGAGATGGATCGCTTTCTATGCATCACTATGCTAAGTTTCGTGTGAAACTTTTACGCCTGTGCAATTGGATCTTCGTATCGTCAGGGTTAAGTGAGAACACCCATTTTTATCTTGGTGTGAACTATTCGGCCTACACAATACAGGAGCGTATCAAACTATGTACTAGGTCTCCGGTCACTATATAATTTATTTAATCATATCGGCCTTACCGTCATGGGCAAGACAGAGCACTATAGCTCACCATCTATCCCTTTCATTTTACTTATTACTACCACGTTCTTTCAAAAAATGAGTCATACCGTTAGGTCTTATGTTTGCTGTCACCAGAGGCGTTCGTCAAGCTTGCCTTATTTCACCTTTCTTCTTCAATTTTGCCATCGAATATGTCGTGCAACAAGCACTAGGTGTCCAAAATTACGATGTTGAGCTTCTTGGCGCCAGAATTGCAGACTTGGACTACGCCGATATCATCACTTTGTTGGATGACGATCTGCAAACCGTCCAAAAGACATTGAACCGCTTAGCGATTAAGACACCCAATTATGGCTTATATTTCACCCTAGCCAAGTGTAAACTGCTTTTTCAGGACTGGCATGAGCCTACGTTCGCTCTCACTATTGCTGGTGACATTCTGGAACAAGTAGGTTACTTCACTTATCTGGGGAATCGCATCATGGCTGGTGGCAGTGTTGAAGATGAAGTTTCACGGCGCGTTGCAAAAGCTCGCCTTGCTTTCATCAAACTGAGACACTTATGGCGTCGTCGTGACGTCAAGGGTAGGGTTTGCAATGCTTCCTTCTGTACGGTCCTGCTGTACGGCTGTGAGACCTGGCCTGTTCGTTCTTAAGACATAAGGCCACTGTCAGTTTTTGACAACTGTTGTCTCCGAAGGATTGTTCGTGTGTGGTGGCAACATCACATAAGCAATACAAAGGTTCGTGAGCGAATGCTTGGAATGAACAGCCCCAGACTTCGAAAGGTTGTTCTCTGACACCGCATACGTTGGCCCGGCCACGTACTGCGGATGCCAGCCTATCGTCTTCCCTGGTGAGCGTTATTTGCACTTCCCGGAATCGATTGGAAAAGGTATCGTGGTGGACAACCAATTATATGGAAAAGGAGAATGACGAAAGCGACCTCCAGCTTAGCTTCAGTCGGATCAGCACGCCTCCCAGGTTGGGGACCACGTGACTCAGAAGTCCTGTGGTTGCAAGGGCTGGATGAGATGGCACGTAACAGACATCAATGGCGCCATTGTTGTGCCGTTTTATCTGTATTAATCTTACGTATTTATTTATTAAAAAAACCAAACGGCCCATATGTAGCCCAAAGAAGAACTGTCCTTTTTCTCCTTTCCCTTCGTACGCTTATTGTCTTCCTTTTTCCATGGCTCTGATGGCACATTGCCTGTATACAGACTTGTGAATATATATATATATATATATATATATATATATATATCACGACAATACACAATGGCATGCTTATCAGGGTGTTTTGTGTCATATCGGCCTGTGAAACTGTGTTGCTTTGGTTTCCCCTTGTGTACACGTGCACAATGGCGGGTGCACTGTTTTCCCCAACAGGAACCTTGCTTGACACACCTCTTCAACTGGCATTTATGATAATAACTTCCTTGTCATGTAGCCCTCCAAAAGTTCAAATGAAGTCTGGGACATGGATCAAACATCTGTTATTCGTGGACAGTATTGTCATTCATACCACACATTAAATGTGATCGCTATTCCATTGTAGCTGTCTTCCTCCCGCTAGTTCTTATTGCCAATATTGTGCCGTCTGCTTAACTTCATTCGACTGCACGCGCTGTTGCTCGCTGCACTCGGTTCAACCCACACGTGGCTCCACCCTGAGCTTCGTTCATACTAGGCCGCACCAGTTTCGACCATTCCCTCCGGCCCTTGCAATTCTCATTAGCCCGCATGCGCGGCACTTAATTGGCTTTCTGTCCGCTGACCTCGCGTCAGTTCCGTGCACCCAAACTACCAGTTACTGCCAGATTCCCTGTCACTTGTAGTGGTATCCAAGTGGCACATGCGGCGGAGATGAAATCATTTTCAGCTAACACATCGAGCGTGAATGGGACCAGCCCTATGAACGTAGAACACTTCGATCTCATCACACTTTTGATGTGTGCACTTGGGTGCACGACCCTTGTTACAGGACACGTGTACTTGTTGGACATTCGATGTTTACATGACTATACTTTCACAGTTCGGTGTTCGATCCGCTCCCGTGACTCGAAAGCGCTCACTTCGTCCATTATTCGGCACATCGCAGACCTATTTGCTTGACCGCTCTGCTTTGGAATGAAGTGCAGCACTGTTCCAAACTCGGACATTAGTTTTAGTTACTTAACGAATGGCTGTCACTGGATTACATCGGTCTCCGCTGCTTTGGTGGAGAGTATCATCATCAATATCATCATTATACACGTTAGCTAGAGGTGGGAAACACATCAGCTACTGTGCCGCAATACATAAAAGAAAAAAGGGGGCAAAGATGCAACAGATGCAAGCCAGCTGAGCTACCAGTAACGGATGGACATCGTTTCGTTAAGCTACCATCCGGCTACCATGCAGCAAAAAAATTAATATTCAAAATTATATTAGACTTAGTAGTGAGATCCTGGTTATAGGGTGAAGCTGAGGGATAGGGTGGAACAAAGGAACTCACAGCACGAACACCATTGAGATCGGTTCCTGACCATGTCAGAAAGTGTATCCAGCCAAACGTTTCCATCGTCTTTCAGACCCCAACCAGGGAGTCGAGACGCTCCAATTGAGGCCAGCTCCGAAGTGAGGGCCTTTATTCCTCTCGACCAAGTCATTGCGTGGCCATCTTTCCTCTTCTTCCTTCCACACACCCGGCGCGCAAACAACGCATGTCGCGGGAGTCGGTGGGCTGGCGTGCGCAACACATGGCAGAGCCACAGAGCCTGGTGCGTGAAATAATGGTGCTCAGCAGTTCGCTACTTTTTCCTGCACCATAAACAAGGCGAGGAACACGCTCGTTGCTCACGCGGTGTTCCCACCAAATGTGAGCCAACCTGCGAAGACACCAGTGGTCGAATGTAACTAGCCTCTTTATACTATTGGTGGAGAGGGATTACATCCGACGGTTTGTGTTGTGTAAATAGAAGTGGCGCCTTCGTGTTATAAACCAGCTGGTTTTCCGATACAAAGAACGGTCTCGGACGAATTCTTCGTCTCTTTTTAAATCTTCTTGTCCCGTTGGACTGTGCATACCAGGCACCATAGACGTGGCGACCTCACCGCGTGTACCAATGCGCTCTCACCCATCCTCAAGACATGATCTTTCCTAAGGGAAAATACCGGACACAATCCACTTGTTAATTATGCTAATTCCAAGCAACCAGGACCGACGCAGCTTCATGCAGTATAGTGTGCGTACTTCGGCTAAACATCATTCTGTATTAGATCAAACAAACTAGCGCAGTTGGTTGTGTTAGCAACACAATTGGTAAGTCGGTATGTGCCCATAGTAAGGATGATCATTTGTGATAAAGAAAGATCTTAGAAGTGGAGACTTTCGGAGCCGCTCTGTCCCAACACTGCACTCCACGACCGACTGGTTTCGTGTTGATTTGGTCTCTTCCGTTGGAGATAGCCTGAGCCGCGAGTGGAACCCAACACATAGTGGCTGATGACTTACGCCTTGGTCATTGAGACAGAGCTGCGCGAGCAGCGATTGACACAGCTGTGAAGGTTCACTGAAGCTACTAGAATTTGTGTTGCTTATTTAGTAGGCAGCGGCCCACATAATCATCCGCGAACGGTTCCGCTAACCTGGATCTTCCGATGCTTTCACGAAATTTACTCAGAACGCAAAGATTGGGCTGTTCACTTTAGAACTGTCTAAATCCTATTACGGTACTTGTACTGATTATCGAGGTTTTCATCCTTTTACACACAGGGACAATAAGTTCTCTTGCGATTGTTAACCGGAACAAGTACCACTTAGGCCATAGAACACAACCTTGTAATGGGATCATCCGGCGGCTCACACGGTATGAGAAACGCGGCACTCACCCATCTCCCGCAAATCCTGGGCATCTCTGATCCTCTATATCGTTCTACAGGTAATTTCACGGATATCGCTAATAATTTAGCTTGTTAGAAATCAAAACCACGTGTTGTTCATTACAATTCACATTCCCATGTAATCAGTCTCTCTATGTGTGGCTGCAAGCACACGCTGTCAGTCACACTCTCATTGGTCATGGGACATTATCCAATGGGACACCTTGGGTGTAAGCACAGGGCTAGATGAATGCGTCCATAGGGGACACGGAGTGCATTCAGGTATGCTCCCGAGCAGGTTGGCACATTGGTGTTAACGGAAAGCAGACAGGGATGAGAGTGTCAGTACTAGAGGTCATTAACAGCGTGCCTGCCTGGAGCTGGTCAACCTAGGATGTGTTTGAGCGTTCTCTCTTTGCACCCCTTTAACAGATATTTTGGCGTAAAGTGTTACCAGTGGTTCGCATTTTGACACGGCCGGTAGCAGGTTAGTATTGCCTTTGGTCGAAAAAATATACCGCATGTTAACAGTATTAATAATCACTAAATTTAAAGTGGGCATATTTCGCATCAGGTGAAAATCTGTAACAATATTTGACTCAAAACATACATGCACATGTAATATCATGCTCTTGCAAGTCATCTTCTTATATTTGTCTGCATTCCCGGCAAGGTATTTGCCCCATATATTTGTGTTATGCGATGGTAGGAATCCAATTCGCAGGCAAACTAGGACAGCGGTGCAGTTGCACAATTACAGTTGCTCTCAGAAGGATCGGTTT